TTTGTATTTACCATCATCTAAAACATCCATTGGCTTTGTGTTTTATAAAACCGCAGAATCACCATTATTTTGCTGCTCTCTTAAAGCTCAACCCCACTCTACACTCTACACTGGGTGTGTAAATTATCCTTGAGCTTTGCATCATGCCATCAGCCCAGACACTTTACTGGCATTTCAAACACATTTAGGACAAATGCCCTGTCAATATGAAATCTTTGTTTCATAACTTGATATTTGACAAAGGAGACACTTCTGCATTTACTGGGTTTGATATTCATCCTTGCCCACTTGATATTTTGATGAAGCTTTTCCAGAAAGCCATTCATTTCAACAAAGATCTTCTCATAGTGTTATAATCGCATTAAATGTATAATATGCATGCTATTTACCTGTAAAAGCATCCATTGTGTAACTATCTAAATGGCCTGAGACTGCTGCTGGGAATCGCCATCTTGGCGGTGACATTAGCCTCCCCAGCAGACTCAGAGCTATCACTCAAGTGAAACTCTATAGTATTCTCCTTCACTCTTTCCCCAGCAGTTACATAAAAAGTTAGAGATTTGGATGGAGGGAAAACGTGCTGGGCCAACATAGAGAGCAATTAGACACTGCTGGAAGAGAATGGGGCTGTGCTAGGGAATTTACTTTTACTAAGATAATCAACATTTCTAGAAAGCTCATAGGCACATTGCATGTAAATAAAAAAATATGAAAATGAAAAACTAGTATGTATTTTCAGTACTTGATTTTTTTATTAACCTGTTGGTGACAGGGTCTCTTTACGTGCAATTCAAACGTACTGCTGCAAAATTGTAAACCGCAAAAAGAAAGTTTGAATTTTTCTAATAGATATTGTTTCCACGCTGTGATGTTTGGGGAATTAGCCGGACTGCAGGGCACAGGCTTTATCAGGAAAACAGCATTTATTTTCCACAGCCAGCATCATAAACAGTCCTTTCTTTCTCCAACACAGCATAACAACTTAAACGTTTGCTTCCTTGAGCACAGAAACGATAAACTTTACAGTTCACTTTTTCCAGCACAGAAAACGATAAACTTTACAGTTTACTTTCTCCAGCACAGAAATTATAAACTTTATAGTTTGCTTTCTTCAGCACAAGAATAATATTGAAAGCCTCACCAGCTTGGATGGCTTCAGTCCACAAGGTTATCACAATCTTAACCTCAGAGTCTCTCCCAGCCCACAGGCTCCCAAGTTCAGTAGTTTCACAGCACCAGCACCTTAGTCAGCTTCACAGTCTCATCTGCACACACCATTCAGGACTCTGGTGTCACTTGCTGTCTCTTGCGTCCTATCCTTTTGAGCACACTTCCTGCAGCAGGTGTTAATCCATGTCTGTCCCTTAAAGGGCCCATAACCCAAACAAGGGAAATAACAGACCTTTCCCAGGACCCATCTTCTGGCGTCCTGTACAACGCACACAGAAAAGAATGGTGGTGTACACTGTTAAGTACTATTAGGATAAGACTGAGTTAAGCTAGCACAATAGCAACATTTTGACAGCTTTACAACCACAAATTCTAAATGATATTACGCTGATCTACTTTGTTTTGTTAACAAAGCAGAATACCAGAAATAGAATTAAAAGAGGAAATCCAACCTTGATATTCCCTGACCAATTTCTTGGGGCAAACATCATAAATCATGCGCTGTACAAAGCATTTAAAAAGGCTGAACATAGCAACTATTACCATTCACCCTCTACCTCTTCTTATGGCACAGTTAGCAAAATGATACCCAAGAGACACTGCATTCAATAAAAATCATGAGGGTGGGTGGCTATGCTGCTCTCCTTTCTGGTATTTTTTCTGTCCACTCTTGCTGGCTGGAGCAGCTCTAATCTTCTTATGTTGTGGGATGTTCTGTGCATGGTGCTGATTGATGATTGACAACAGCACTGTCCAATCAGTAACCAACAGCAAAGAGAGAACATACTACAGTGGGGGAAATCCAGTGTTGAAACACTATGCCATTTGCACTTGTCAGTGTGATAAAAAAAACAGAGGGTTGGAGAAATAAAGCTACACTTGTCCTGAATTTATAAATCGGGGGAAATGACCTAAAAATAAGCAGATTCCGTAGCTAGCATGTAAGAGAGTTTAAATAAGGGGTTAAATGCTTGCACACACTAACAAATAGGGTAAGGTGAGTTTTTGCTACATGTGGCATCCCTCGGGGTAAAGGACAATTTATAGTCCAAAAGTCTTAATGTGTGTAACAAAGTTGACTATTTTGCCACTGTTTTATCATATTCTCTAATGACAGTGAATATGTAAATTACTGTGGAAGATTGCAAAGATGCTTGCACAAACATGGGTCACTTGCAGATAATTTTGCCACTATTGAAAGGAATCTTTTTTTATCTCCAATGATAGGTATGGGCTCCATTCTTTGGGAGGGACACCTGTAATGTGACTTGAGATTGTCTAAAAGGCATTCCTAGGTTGCATGACTCAGAACTGCCCTATTTGCACTATTAGACAGGTAACTAAATAAAAACATATAGTTTAGGCAGATGTGTTATACAGAAAGGCTGGAGGCAGAATGAGACAGAGGATCAATACAGGCAATAGAAAAATACCAGGCACCAGGGGACAAATTGGAGTTGTGAACGAGATAGCGAAACAAGAGTGAAATAATAGGGGTTCCAAGGCACACGTAGAAACCAATAAGAAGGTTTTACAGAAGTATTGGCAGGGTACATTGAGTGGAATTTAAAATGGGCACTTAGTCCCTTCAGAGGGACCCTTAAGCTGGCCAAACACTGGTAGATTTTGATACATACCTTCATATGAAGCATCAGAACATTCAATAATGCCATCAAAGACAATGTTCTGGAAAAAATGTTTTCAGAGGAGATTCTACTGGTGTATGGCCAGCTTTAGAGCATGCCAGTGTGTACTTCACTGCTTGGTATGAGCACACATCTAAGCATAATAGGGAGGATACTGGCCTTAGAGGCAGCTTGAAGATAGGAGGACTGTTGGTCTTCCAAAGGAGCCAAGATGGAACTACTGATTAAACAAAAATGGGATCTGCGCTTATGAATGAACTCTCGTGCTGCTGTGCTAAAAGATAGTAATCATTTCTCATATGTGTTTTTGGATTGCACTGCGCTACAAAATAGGAATATATGCACCTATAAAGTATAACAACCTTCAAATACCAGTGTAAAATAAATAAAGTGAATAAACAAATCCAACAATCATATGTCACAAAGTGAAAATATTGTTCCAAATCTCAAATATTCACAGTGAGCGTATCATTTATCACCATTACATATGGTGTAAATCTCAATGTTTAACAACATCTAACACATAAAAAGTGAATTTAATCCAAAAAATAAGTGTCCATCCCACAATGTGCAAAACGTTTTTCTCAATCCCTCGTTGCCGTATATCTGTAATTCACACCAGTGTTAATATACCCACTGTGCATACAACGTATACAGATCCGCATTCACCACAGGATAATTACCTTTTTACAAGATGGTCAAACTGAATTTAGTGCAGTATAAATCTCCAGCTCCGTTCTCCTCTATTATTTATGCTGTCATCATGTTCAATTTCCACCATCCAGAAGTTTACGTTTCCTTATCCACTCCAAAAAACATTTAAAAACTAATTGTGCAATAAGTCTTAAAAACAGTGCCCGTCTCAGCAGGGCTCATAACTATTCCTCTCACGTAATGAACTCAGCGTGCGGCCACCCATTGACGCGCTTCGTCACACAGGACTTGCGATCGGCGTCCCTTCAAAGATGGGCGCTGGCTTTTTACAATGTGATTATTTGTGCTGAACATGTGAGTGTTTTTATTCTATTAATAAAGCGCTGTTTTTAAGACCTATTGCACAATTAGTTTTTAAATGTTTTTTCTGGAGTTGATGAGGAAACGTAAACTTCTGGATGGTGGAAATTGAACATGAAAGCACATAAATAGCAGAGGAGAGCTTAGCTGGAGATTTATACTGCACTGAATGTTGTTTGACCATCTTGTAAAAAGTTAAATTATCCTGTGCTGAGTGCGGATCTGTATATGTTGTACGCACAGTGGGTGTATTAACACTGGTGTGAATAAAGGATACACGGCACCGAAAGATTGAGAAAAACGTTGTGTACATTGTGGGATGGACACTGATTTTTTTGGATTAAATTCACTTTTTATGTGTTAGATGTTGTTACACATTGAGATTCACCATGTAATGGTGATAAATGATACGCTCACTGTGAATATTTGAGATTTGGAACAGTATTTTCATTTTGTGACATATGATTATTGGATTTGTTTATTTATTTTACACTGGTATTTGAAGGTTTTAATTCTTTATAGGTGCGTATATTCCCATTTCGTAGCGCAGTGCAATCCAATAACAAAGATGGAACTACTGGTTTCTCAGTTTTTACATTACATCACCAGCCAAAGCTAACGTGCAGCCACATCATATCTTGTAGTAAGATCATACATTTGCTCTATTAGGTATTATTGCAAATGGTTGTTTGAACTAGACCAACTATTTACTTGGGATAAATAAACACCAGTGCTGTGAACATTTAAAAATTCTAACTTATCCCGAGCAGTGGAAATGTCTCACAGTCCACAAGTGTTTTTTGCCACTATGAATTTTTTCAATTTCATCTTTACTGATTGGATAATCTACACAAAGTCATCATAGAAAAGTTAGCTACTTTATGTTAAGCAGAGTAGATTGCTCAGCTTTGTTGCTTGAGGAATACTGCAGCTCAAAAGGGCAAATTTGAATATATTACTACCAGACTTGTGAAAACCATTAACATCTTTTACACAATTTTCAATGACCCATAACAGAAAATTATTAATCATATGTCAAATCTTGGCATGAGGATATTAAAAACAGCAACACTGTATTGGGATACACCAGCATTTGGAAGAAATATGTTCCTTAAAACAACACAATAAATTCACAATAAGAGGCAAGTGGTAATTAATACCCAGGCATACCAAGTCAGTTTTGGAGGAGTCCTGGTAGTCCACAGCGAAGCTACTTGGGGGTTTGTTCATGCCATTGCACTCACTGGCTGACTTTGGTGACTGTGCATGCTGCCTGTATGTGGCACTCTTTGGAGTCCAGCAGAAAAGGTTAATTGACTCTCTGACACACCGCTCAATGTCGATTTCTGTGGACATACAAAGCAATAAGTTAATAACACTGTTTAAAAAGATAAAGTTAGCTTCTTATGCACCGCTACTTCCTATTATAGGTAACCCTATGTTTCCACTGGGACTGGAAGTGCCTAATGCCTTTGGTTGGTGGACAACCCAAGGGGTGACATGCCTATACCAGTTAATGGTAGATGGTATGATCGGCACATGGTCTTGCTTTCAGAATAACATGCAAGCCCCAGACACAGAATATTTTATATATTTACAACTTAGGCACTGGGCTATATCAATGCTTTTGGAAACTCCAGTCATAACGGAATTAACGATTTTTAAAAATATCTGTCTGAAAAGCCCTACGGCCCCTAAAATGATATCGATATTATATTCCCAGCTAAACAGGTTATTAAAGCCCAGTGACCATAAATATATACAGAAATGGGAAAAAGAACTTGGAGTTGTTAAACAACAGAAAGAATGGCAACAAATGTGGAAATAGCTACGTGTTCCATTAATGTAAATTCTCTGGAAACTGCATTTAAAACTTTAACTAGATGGTACTTAGTGCCCTCCAGGTCGGTTTATTCTAACTCGACACATTCAGACCTTTGTTTTCGAGGATGTGATTCTAGGCGAGATGCGGTCCATACCTGGTAGACATGATTGAAACTGGATACGTTTTGGTTAAAAGTAATTCAGATGATTAACAATCTTTTTGTGACTAATATAGCAAGAGATCCATGGGTAGCCTTATCAAAAATCTTCATCCCTGACTAACTCACAACATAAATTGGGGACTTAAGTTATGTTGGCGGCGAAACAGACCATTGCCCAGGCATGGAGAAAACCACATGTGTTCTTCGAGGAAGTTAAAAAGAGGATGGATTAATTTTTTTCTTAATGAAAAACTGACTAGCATCCTTTTGGATTCCAATAAAAAGTTTATGAAGACTTGGGAACCTTGGATTAAATATGCCCATCCAACAATCTCAGTAGAAAGTTTGATGCTCCTGTAGAATTGATTTTGGTGTCTTGTCCCCCCCTTTTTTGTTTTGTTTGCTAGCTTTGAGGTTTTTGTCAGTTTGTTTGGTTTTATAGTTGTATTGTATTGTTTGTTGAAGGGTGGTTGGAGGGGAGGGTCAGCAGGGTGATACGGATATGTTTGTCCTTGCAGACTATTGATATTGAGGTATGTCTTGTATATGAATGTTTATAAGACAAAGAAAACATTTTGAAATGGAAAAAGATAAAGTTAGTGTTTCCATCAACAGCGACATCAACCTAGCATTTTACATCACCTAACCTAAAATCCTATTAAATAGATTTTAGTAAATGTATATGATCTAAACCTATATATTTTATATGCACAGAGTCTTAACAATAAAACAAAGAGAAAGAACTCTGACACCATGCAACTCTTTATTTAAACCTAGTAAACAATCATATAAATAACTGGCCTATCAACATCCAATGTCATGCATAGAACATATTTATTTATTACAGATATTTATATAGCCCTGACAATTTACACAGCGCTTTGCATACTGCAAATTTACCTCAGTCACTGCCCTCAAAGAGCTTATAATAAAAGGTCCCTCTATTGCACACGCATACAGGGCCAACTTAGACAGGAGCCTTCCAGCATGTCTTTGGAGTTTTTGTGAGGAATTTGGACTACCCAGAGGAAACCCATGCTATCACAGGGAGAACATGCATTACATTTAGATTAAACACACACACACACACACAGCATATACACAGCATATACACACAAAACATACATATACACACAATTGCATGTACAAATATATACACACACCCATAAACAAAGGCAATGTTTTAAAAAGAACAAAATGTACAACAAAAGTGTAAAGCAGTAGCACAGAAAGTGGAAATAAAGAGCTCAACATCTATCAGCAACAGTTCCTTTAAGGGCATAGCAAGGTCCCCTGGCCATTGAGCTAAATCATGCCTTTAGCAAAGTCTGTAACCTGTATAACCATCCAGATATCAAGATAGCATTAAATTCTTTCATTGCAAAATTGACCTTAACACACAAGTAACTGTGCCCCCTTCCTTTCACTCTTAATAACTCCATACATGGGTGACCTTATTAGTTCTGGAACAGTAAGGCTGCCCATAGGCATTAGAAGGTGGTTAGATGGCTATGGTGTGACTACTTTCAGGACATATGATCGGCCAGAGGGACTGTGAAGAGAATTGTTTTGCTGGTGATATTGCAGCATGGCATCCCAGAGAGATGAGATAAAACAGTCAGAATCCAGTGATTGTCATCTCCTGCCTTTGGGTTTTTTTTGTTTTATTTAGATATCATCATGCTTGCTTTATACAGAGTTTAATGGTAATGAGGTGTGAGCCCCAGTTTCAATTAGGAAGTCTTATATGCAGGGCCGGATTTACTCTCTCTGCTGCCCCAAGGCCAGGTTCCTCAATGCACCCCACCCTCCCCGCCAACCCCCCTTCTCCACCATGGAGAATGGCACACCTGCAGGCTGCATATAAGTGATCTCGGCGACATCGCCGAGATCACTTGTACAAAACAAGTTGCGGCTACATTTAGCTCTGCTTGCCCAAAGCAGGGCTAAATGTAGAAAACAACTACCCACCCAACTGCATGTCCCGGGCGTCGAGAGATAGGAATTCCATACTACTGCTGCCCCTCTAATCTCTGCTGCCCCAAGGCCGGGTCTTATATGGATATGGCTGAATCAATTACGAAATACAGTATATATCTGTGCATTTATGGTCTAGATGGTTAAAGATTCCTCGCATTCCACAGTCCTCTCAGGCCTTGCCCAGATTAATTTAAGAATAATCAGATATCTGTTCATTTGCCCCTTGATCTTTCTAGTTTTTACAATAACAATAGTTTGTTTACATTTGGCCTAGCTGTTTGTGATGGGTCTCATAAGTTTGGGAGGGGCAGAGGAAAGGATCATAAAGTGCTCAGCCCTCCTACTCATCCTCCTGCCTCTTCCAGATTGGCCTAGGGGGCCGGCTCAGGGACACGCCCTAGAGGACCAACAAAAAGCTGTGCAGGGCAGTCAGGGGGCCCTCATTTGACATCAAGAGGAGGCTCTCGTAACACCAAAGTTTGTTACATAAAGAGGAAATGCTCAAGTAACATCCCATAAAAAGTTCCCCTTTAACATCAAGAAAGAATCTTTGCAAGCCTTACTTGGAGAAAGAGCAATTCAGAGCCATCTTCTGTTGTACTGAAATGGACTCTGTTAGAACATACTAAACCCAGAATTTGTTAAGTACTCTCTTTTTATTGCTTTTTTATTTTATTGTTGTTATCCCTGTCTCTCTTTGTTAACATCTTTTTTGTATATTTCTCCTGCACCCTTTCTTTTATTAAGAAAAAATATAAAAAATTGGTTAGCTTATCTCCATGCTCTAAATAAGAACTTAAAATACCCTTATCTCTGTGAAGAGTACTGTACTGTACTGTACAGAATGCATGTCATATTGCTGTCTGAAAGGACAGTGGTATCATAGTCTTTAAGTATTTGAATTGTCACAGCATTTGCTAAGAGCGGTGCGTGTTTCCATTAAAACCCGTGGTGGCAGCTACTTTTTTGTGTGTAAAGGATTAACTGTGGAGTTAACCAACCCTAGTGATGATCGCTCTCAGTCTGCTGGCCTCAAACTATTGTCCCGAGAGCTGGGAAATCTGTGCAGGGTGAGGTTGGGAGTGGTATTTCCATGTTCCTTGTGAAGGCTTGGTAGTTTCAGAGCTGCGTATAATCGCGTGTTGGTGACGTACATAGGGTTTCTGACCAGCAGCATCTGTCACACAGAGAACTTGTGATGACGCCATCAGTCCCGTCTCCCAATCTACATCTGCAGTGGATCAAACACTAGTTTTTACAAGGGGTAACTCAGTGAGAAAAGTAAAAACAGGTCAAGAAGCTGCGCACACTCCAAATTTTAAGACTGTGCTGTCACTGACAGCCGCTGTTATACACTATTGATTGGGAACCAATCACCTTGGTGATTGGTACATATCATCATGCCATGACAGTCAATCATGGGGATTACATGGGATTTGTTTTACAATCCAGCTTGCTTTACCTGTTATCGAGTCTCATAAAAGTTGATTAAAAACTGTTAAAGTGATACTAAACTCAGGAGATCAATCATTCAACATTCAAGTAGCTTAACTATTAACACAAATGTATCTTATTTGTGTATCACTCGGCTGTAGATCCTCAAATAATCTCTGAATTGGTGCTGTCTGAATGGAAACACGAAACAAATATAAAGTAGGTGTTATCCCAGTTTGGCTGCAAAAGTGGAAATGCACTTTAGAATGAAAGTAATATTAAATGCTAAAGCTGTTTTCAATAATCCAGATCAAACAAATATACATTACCCAGCAAAGTATGTCTTTACTTTTTTGCCCACTTACATTCATCATGTTTACAAACAGCTCCAACTCTCTCAGCTCAGTCTTCCCTGAACTTCCTGCTAAGTACAAGATCAGAAGGGACACAGCAGTCTCCAGGAGCTGTCCAAATACTAGCTTGGAGATTGGAGGAGGAAGGGGGAGCAGGGGAGTGTACACAGCTTACATGCACACACAAGGGTGGCTCCATAGGACCCTGCAAGGGAAAGGAGTCACCCCAAAACAGAATATCAGGGCCAGTTCTCAGGGGACTAGCTTCTGCAGGAAACTAAACATTTTAAGCATCAAGGAGCAGCATCCATTGTAAGTGATTTAATCAACATTTAAAAAACTTGATTAAAAACATTTTGACTTTAATATCACTTTTATATCTGCATAGAACACCAGCTACCTATATCTGGTATAATGTCTTTTGATCCTTTTGTTGTAGAGTTATACTGACAGTAACCTCTCCTTATACATTTTTCATCACAGGCACAGTTGAATTGCCCAGGTTTGTAACAGGTTTACAAGAATCATTGATTCAAGTTATACCGTTTTGAACTAGCTGGCCAAAAACTAAGCTCCCACATTCAGCTTATCGAT